CAAAATTTAAGGGTAAATAAAAGATGGTATTCAAACAACTTTACTTAGTAAATAAGGCTTAGTTTACTTAGTAAAAAAAAATATAGTTTATTGTAATATGTTCGATTTGTCAAAATACCTACGTTCGTCAAAATACCCCATTTATCTTACTTTTTAATGTTTTAAAAAAACTAAGTGTGCCCAAAAAAATAAGCTACTCCTACAATTTTTATGTATGCATATCAATAATCACAATGCGATAAAATCCATTCCACTGCCAAAATAAAAGCTGTATCAAAGCTTTGAGTGAAGTATCCCAACAACCGGTTGACAAATTCGATAATTTTTTTATTTATTTGAATTCTGTGATCCATAGAATTTAAATAAAAAAAAATTTCCATCGAATTTGGTCAGGTGGTTGCCGAGATATCTTCGCTCAAAGTTTTAGAAAAAATCAAAACGTTTATCGGATGCCAATTTTTAAAAACTTTGAGCGAAAATATCTCGACAACCACCTGACAAAATTCGGTGAAATTTTTTTATTTGAATTTTATGGACCTATAAAATTCAAATAAAAAAAAAATCTCAGGTGGCTGCTGAAATATCTTAGCTCAAAATTTTAGGTAAAATTTGGCGCAGCTTCTATTTTTGATAAACATTTTTATTTAAAAAAACTCTGAGATGGTATTTCAGCAACCACCCGATCAAATTCGATGAACTTTTTTTTATATGAATTTTAAAGGGTCATAGAATTCAAATAAAAAAATTTTATCGAATTTTGTTAGGTGGTTGTTGAGGTATTTTCGTTCAAAGTTTTAAAAATTGGCATAGATCATTTTCCGATAAACATTTTGATTTTTTATAAAACTTTGAGCGAAGATATCTCGACAACCACCTGACCAAATTCTATGAAATTTTTATTATTTGAATTCTATGGATCCATGGAATTAAATAAATAAAAAAATTATCTAATTTAGTTAAGTGATTTTTGAGATATCTTCGCTCAAAGTTTTGGTTTTGACTGATATGCATGCTGATCAAGTGGGTACAAGGCTTTAGCGGCCAAAAAAGGTAGCTTATTTTCGGAAATATATGGTAAATAGTAACACAAATACATATAAATATGTAAATAAAAAAATTTTTACTTTGTTCTGATGTGGATTAACGGTCACGACGGGACCCATGATGGGGCTGCATTGTGGTAATTCTACGTTCAAATCCGGCTGCGGGTGTGAATCCTGGCACTTAATTTCCCGGGCTTGAAGCATCAGTATTTTTTGTTTTTTTTAACTGATTAATTTTAATATATAATTTTAATAAATAAACAAATTGATAATGCCTATATACGAAAGAAATATCTTTCAACGATAAATAAAGCTCTTATGTACGAATATATAATTGGACAGGACGAAAGTCTTACTTTTACAATTCATAAAATCGAAAAGTTTAAGTCTTTATGGTTGTTCATTGAACTTCTATTTTAGTGTCAAAGACTAAAAAAGCGTTAATGTGGAAATATTATAATTAAGTAAAAATTTTAAAAAAAGACAATTCATCCACAAAGCTATATTTTCATAATTGAGTAAACGAATAGCTCTTGAAGAACTTTGAAGCATATACCGTGGAAAAAGACAAGAAGCCTTTATTTAGTTCTTGGGGTTGGTATCGAAAGCCATAAAGCTATATTTGTTCGTTGTAAAGTTAAAACTTGAGCTAATTTAGAAAATTGTACGATTAGACGGTTAACTAAAATCCAGCAAGAAAGTAAAAAGATGTACAACACGTTTCGTAATTTGACTTGACAGTACTTATCCGAGATTGTGAGGAGAGGTATTGTTATGTTTCTAAATTAAATTGTAATTTTCATAACACAACTTTGATTTGGCTCTAATATATCCCACCAATTTTAAAAACTCCAGATATAGTGCACGACTGATATCATGAAAGAAAAAAAGAAATATAAAGTGCATATATACTTTGTAATAGACAACTTGATTAATAAAGATTCAGTAGTTTACGCATAGGTCTAATTCATGGCAGGTATATTGTCAGAGGGAATCTTTTGTATGTTTACATTTACGGTAATTACTCCAATGTTAGATGTTGCTTGAACATCTTTGTTTGATCGAAATTTAGTATCTAGCACTAATCAATAAAATTAAAATGCTTAGAAATTTGGATACTTGGCAAATTTTTGATCATTTAGATATACTTGAAAGGTGACTAATATTTGAATTTAAGTATCATATCCGTACCAAGGTTGTTACACATCATTCAATGAAGCGAAAGGGTCAACATTTATAATTAGGGTGAAAGATACGATTGATGAGGTTATAATGTGAAACAATTAAGATGAAAAAAAAATTGAATTATAATTTTATCCATAGCCAAAACCATATGGATTTGCGGATATGAATGTTATTTTAAGAATGGTGTAAGCTGTGATAGTAAAGAGATAAGCATAAGAAGTTTGGTTATTTTCAAAAATTAGTTAATATGCTAGTACTTTTAAAATACTTCAAGTCAATTGTTATTGTCAAAGTAGGGATTGATGTACAGCAAAAGCCGGGCAGAAGTATGCTATAAAGATAATAAGTCCTATTAATATGATGACAAAACGATGATGAAATGATTGTCGAAATGAAGTAATAATGCTCATGGTAAAAAGAAGAGAAGCGATGATGGAACAACAAACAGGACGTTTAGCACGATCAAGGATTTACAGATCTCTTATAGTTTAGATACCACCTTTGAAATTTTTTAGAAACAAAATTTTCATCAACGGAACTTGACTTAGCCAGCATTTTTATTGCGATTTGCAAAATGATGTTTCTTTGATCAAATCGATGGATTGCAGTTCCCTATACTATCACATGTGCACAGCAATTTTGAGAGAGTATAGCTACATCTAACAAAATTATTTTTATATTAAAATTTTGACCTATTAATCGGACGACAATCAGGTGATTGTATAGGACTACAAATTTTGATCAAAGATAAATCACTTTGCAAATCGCAATAAAAAAACAGGTAATCGGACTTTCTATTTGCATGTAATCTCAAATAGTGATTGTAAAGTTTTTATATTTTTTCAAATTCAGAATCAGAATTTATTAGAGCTGGGTTGACAATGTCGACTGCGCCTATAACAAAATTAAAGATAGGCGAGTTTAATTATAAAAAAATAATATATAATTGTCATGTTTCATGTACCATAGAGCACTGAGCAAAAGACACCCTTTTTGGTTAATTAAATGTGGGCTTTTAAATTTTCTATAATGCTTATTGTAAATGCGGAATATGTATGTACTTGAAATTTTTTCTTTGCGACACAGACCCGCTGCCGAATAAATACCGGGTCTTTTGTAAATTTTTTGGTATTAGACCCCAAGTCTTTTGCTCAGTGCTCTACGGTACATATTGTAAGTTGAAATCCAATTTTATAGAATTTAAATCACTGAAAGTTGCAACTGATTTTAAACAAAATAAACTTACCGTATATTACCGATTAAAAGCAACCTCCCAGATTTTGGAGCCAAAAATTTGACTAAGGTTATTATGTTCTACTAATAAAATTGTACTCAAATAAAAGCAACCCCTTCACTTTGGCTTGAAAAAGTTCTCATTTTTTTGCAGCATTTTGGTTGCTTCTATTTGGTATATGGTAATTGTTCTCAATTTATGGATTTCGAATTAACTCACAATTATTGCTCTTGCAAATTTCACAAAATATTTAGATCATTAAAAAATAAGAATCACACAATTAGGTGGTTTCTAATTTTTGATAAAACTACTCTTATATCTGGATATGAAATCATCTGGTTTAAATACCAAACAATTAAGTTTTTTTTTTAATAATCTACAAAATTTACAGAATTTTGAGCATAATTTGATAAATTGTAAAAAAATTGGGTTAATAATTTTGTAATAAAATAAAAATTTTACTATTATATAATATGGTCCGGTACAAAAATGTAGATACCTGACCAAATTTGATCAAAGTTTTTTTATTTTAATTCTATGAGATTATAGAATTAAAATAAAAATTTTTGATCGAGTTTGGTCAGGTAAATGCCAAGTAATCTTCGTTCAAAATTTAGCCACCTGTAAAAAATAAGAAGCTGCAGCTATTTTTTTTTTTTTTTTTTTTTTTTTTTTTTAATATCTCTCAACAACTACCAATCCAAATTTTTTTTATTAATTCTACATACCCACAGAATTAAATTAAAAAAAAAAATCATTAAATTTAATAGATGGTTATTGAAATTATTATTTAAAGTTTAAAAATGAAAAAATTTGGCTTCTCGATATTTCAGGTTTTTTAAAACTTCTAGCGAAGGTTTCTCAATAACTACCAAACCAAATTTTTTTTATTTTAATTTTACGAAAGTATGTAATTAAAATAAATTAAAAAATTACTAAATTTGATCGTGAAGTTATCGAAAAACCTTCGCTAAAAAAATGTTCAAAATTATAAATAAGTAATCCGGACTGACTACAGAGATCGATCTGCCTCGTAAATTGATCAGCCTTTCCAAGGTTAGACCCCTAGTCATGCAGGGGTAGGATACTGATCATGTGTAAATAGTAACACAAAAAATTCCTTTAAATATGAATCGGAAAATTTTTTTCTGTGTTTGTTCTGGTGCGGATTAACGGTGAAGGCGGGACCCACAGTGGGGCTGCATTGTGGATATCCTATGTTCGAATCCGGCTGCGGGTGTGCACTTGAGCGCTTAATTTCCCGGGCTGAAGCATCAAAACTTATTTTTTGTTTTAACTATCGTTGCACTAATAATGATTTAATTTTAAAAAACATATTTAACTAAATAAACTGCCTATGCCTGTTACGTAGAAAAACTTAACAAGCTAGTCTATGTAATGAAATGAGCAAGTGAAAATGAAAATGAATTATTTACGGGAGAGAGATCTAATGCTCCTATGTACGAATATGCGACAGGCAAGATCTGGGCAAGACGAAATTCTTACTTTTTACAATTCATGAAATCAGAAGTTTAAGCCTACGATGAGTTGTTCGCTGAACTTCGAGGTTTGATAGATTCTCTTTTATTTGCACTCTTAATGTCAAATACTAAATAAGCATTAGTCTATTATTAATGTTGTAGTAAGAGAAAAAAGGCAAACAAGACAACAGCAAGCGTGAAGTAAAATTAAAAATGACAATTCATCCACAGAAACTCAGAGTAAACGAAGATGTGGAATAGCTCTTTGAGGACTTTGGAAAAAGATGGAATGATTTTTGAGGTTGGTGTCGAAAATCGTAAAGCCATATTTGTTCGTTAGAAGGTAAAACATGAACTGATTTTAGAAAGTGCAAAATTTAAATGATTAGGCAGTTAAATAAAATCAAGCAAGAAAGCAATGAATTAGTAAAAGGTGTACAACCCGTTTCGTGGCTTGTACAGTACTGATGAGTGATAAAAGGTACTAGTATGCTTCTAAACTATATTGTAATTTTCATAACACAGCTTTCAATACCGTAAATAGCGTATATAAACTCGGCTCTAAATACAGTACATTCTACCAATTTTGAAACATTCAACAGACTTCCAGTATAGCGCACGACTGAGAGTGAATGAAAAAAAAATTTAGAGTACATTGACGTCTGTATATTTACCTATCATTAGATATTGCCTGAACATCTTTATTTAGTAATCAATTTAAAAAAAAATGCTTAGAAATTTAGAAACTTGGCAAATTCTTGAGCATTTGGACACACTTGAAAAGTGACTAAATTTAAATTTAAGAAAATACACCATATCAATGTCGTCCCAGCGAAGGTTAATATTGATATTAAGGAGAGGAGAAACGATTGATGAAGTAGAACAGTTATAATGATGAAGCAATCAGGACGAAAAAAAATTGGATCCAGTGATGGCCCATTTAGAGACTTAACCAAAACCATTTGACGTTTGAGGATATGAATGTTAAGGTTGATTGTGATTTAAGAACGGCGTAAGCTGTGATAGTAAGGAGATAAGTATAAGAAATTTAATTATTTTCAAAAATTAGTTATTATGTTAGTGCTTTTAGAATACCTTAAATCAGTCATTATTATTAAAGTAAGGATTGATGTAAAAGCCAGGCAGAAGGATACGATAAAGATAATAAGTTTTACGAATATGATGATGAAATGACGATGAAGATGATGAAACGATTGCTTAAGTAATGTTCATCTAATGGATGGTAAAAAGATGATGGAACAACAAATATAACGTTTAGCACGATCAAGAATTTACAGATCTCTTATAGTTTAGGTACCACCTTTAAAATTTTTTAGAAATGGCTAATTACAAAAATTTTCATTAATGGAATTTTGGCGATTTGCAAAATGATGTATCTTTGATCAATCTGTGGATTGCAGTTCACCTATACTGTCACATGAATTTTCGATTGCGTGACTACTGTATATACAGCAATTTTGAGAGAGTTAGCTGCATCTTACAAAATTATGAAAATAATATTTTTATATTGAATTTTTCGGTTGTAAATCGGACGACAATCAGGTGATTGTATAGGTCAGGGACACGGAATTTATACGATATTTGTAAATTATGCGTACGGTGTATATAAAATATTCGATTTACTTATGATTAAAAAATGAAAGTGCGATTTAATGCGATTTAAATGAAGTTAACTGAGTATAATAAAAAAATTTTAACTTAATAAAAAAAACTTGCGATTTTTTTTATTGAATACTACGCTCAACTGAACAAAAACTGATTTATTCATCGTTAATTAAATACACTTGCTTTAAATAAAAATCTATACATAAGCTCATCTTTAAGTTCAAGCGCATTACTGTTCAATGTATTTTTTTTTGGATCCATACAAAAAATAATAACTTTTTTTTCTTAAAAACGAATGGATTTATTTTAGGTTTTAATGTGATTTTTACACTTTAACATACTACTAAAAACGCTATTTAATTTACTCGCATTTTAACATACTACAAGAAAAATAATTGTCGCAGCTGATGCTGAAATTTGGGGTCTCTATTTAAATCTATAATACCTACTAAAATCCACATATGCTTTTTTATTAATAAAACTACCCTACTGACCCTAACCTAACTATGAAAAAAAAGTGTAAAAAAAATTTTTTATAATTTTATAAAAAATTTCAGCATCAGCCGTTTTCAGCATCAGCTGCGACATATATTATGTAATTATTAATAGTATCTGGATCAAAAACTAACTGACTGTATGACGAAATCATTTCATCAACTTACTTCTTTCTTTCGCAAATTTTGAATTAAAATTTTTAATGCACTTATAAAAAAAAACATATATATGTGTATATATGAAATATTACTTTTTATGTGTATATCCAAGTCGATGTATAGCCCTTCAAATTGTTGCAAAACTAATGCTATGTCCTAACTAAAGCTCCATTTCAATTGTAATTCATACAATGCCAGTCAGATTTTCCTTCATAAAGTTTAAAGATGTTTTATATCGTCCATGTTTAGCGAACGTAGTTTCTTAAGAGCGGACCACTCCAAAGTCTACGGACACCTACCGATTTTGTACCTACCTAGTTAGTGTTAGGGTTAGAGTTTTTATGATTGGTTGATTTATATTTGGTAGGTGCTAAAATCACGTGTATGATATCAAAAATTTCACCCACGTGATCTGTGTGGAGGTTTTTTAAAACTTCTAGCGATGTTTTCTCAATAACTACTTAATATAATATTATAATTTTTTTTTATTTTAATTCTTAGGTTTTATAGAATTAAAATAAAAAATAGTTCATTGAATTTGGTTAAGTGGGTGTCGAGAAATCATCGCTAAAAGTTTTAAAAACACTTAAAATATCAAAAAAATACTAAAATCGTGTAAATTTTTCCTTCTTCGACACCCAACTATCAAAATGCGATAAATTTTTTTTTTTTTTTAATTCTGAGGATGCATAAAATTAAAACGAAAAAAAACCGAACGAATTAGAATAGCAAGTTGTCGAAAAATATTCATCAAAAGTTAAAAAAAAATTGACCACAGCTTTTTTTTAAAACTCGAACGAAGATAACTCAGCACTAACCTGATCAAATTCGATAAATTTTTTTATTTAATTTCTATGAAATTATGGAATTAAAATAAAAAAATTGATCGAATTTGATCGGGTAAGTGCTGAGTTACCTTCGTTCGAAGTTTAGATCTCTTTGAAAAAAACTGTGGCCAAATTTTTTTTTTTGAATTTTAATGAATATTTCTTGACAACAAGCTATTCTAATTCACTCAAAAAAATTTTATTAATTCTACGAGTCCACATAATTAAAATAAAAAAAATTCCATTGAATTTGGATAGTTGGGTGTCGAGAAATCTTTGTTTAAAGTTTTTTAAAAAAAATTTAAGAAAAAGATAAATTTTTCATTTAAACTTTAAACAACTATCTAAATTCGATGAAATTTTTTTTTACTTTAATTCTGCGGATCCATAAAATTAAAATAAAAAAATTTGAGCGAATTAGAATAGCTTGTTGTCGAAAAATATTCGTTAAAAGTCAAAAAAAAAATTTGGCCGCAGTTTTTTTTAAAGACATCTAAACTTCGAACGAAGATAACTCAGCACTTACCTGATCAAATTCGATCAATTTTTTTTTCTTTGAGTTCCATAAATTCATAGAACTGAAATAAAAAATGATCGAATTTGATCAGGTAAGTGCTTAGTTATCTTCGTTCAAAGTTTAGATGTCTTTAAAAAAAACTGCGACCAAAATATTTTTTAACTTTTGATGAATATTTCTCGACAACTAGCTATTCTAATTCATTCAATTTTTTTTGTTTTAATTTTATGCATCCACAGAATTAAATTAAAAAAATTGATCGCATTTGAATAGGTGTCGAGAAATCCTTTTAATTTTCAAAGAAGCGGTTTTAAACCTTTTAGCGATGATTTCTCGACACCCACTTAATCAAATTTAATAAACTTTTTTTTATTTTAATTCTACAAAACCTAAGAATTAAAATCAAAAAAGTTTATCGTATTTTATCAAGTAGTTATTGAGAAAACATCGTTAGAAGGTTTAAAAAACCTTCAAATTTTTTGATATGTATATAACACAGATCACGTGGGTGGAATTTTTGATGGGGTAGTCCTAAGAGCGACGGGAGTTTTCAATACAACCATATTTTAGAAAACCCTACTTATAGAAGATATATGCTAACACTCAAGTGTTTTGCAATTTTCGAAATGACTAAATTAAGACTTCTAAATTTTTTCGAATTATTTTTCAGCGAAGGTACTTTGAAAGTGTTATACTATCTGCTATTGTATTCAGCTAGAGATATTCGTATTGTGTTGTATGTATGTAGTCTACAATACTTATATTAGTCACCTGATTTTAAATTACGTACGTATGTACGTATGTATCAGGTACATTAATATCAATTTTACGAATCTATTATTATTATTATCGTTATGCCGAAATCACTTACTTAACCGGATCGGCCGAAAAATCATTCAGCGATTATGAGGTGTTTCAGAATTTATTAAACCGGCTATAACAACGAAAATTTTTATAAAAACCTCCAGTGAACATCGAAGCAGTGATGGTAAATGACCTGGTAATTTGCAAATTTTTCAAATGACCCCGAAATGACCGGTCATTAGCGGTCATCTCAGTTTTGGGTCATTTGTAAATGACTCGTGACCAAATGACCATGGTCATTTATAAATGACCGGGGTCATTTGAGGGTCATTTAGTCTATAGGTTTTGAAATAGGCTGGGTTAAGCTAGGTATTTGTATACTCGAGCTCAATAAAAATTTATATGCCCGACCCAACCCATGAATGGTAAATGATCCGGTCGTTTGATCGAAATTTAAATGACCCAAATCATCAAATTATGACAAGGTCATTAAGCTTATTTACGTAGGTCATTTGCATATAAAATAATTTTATTGGTCTAATTGTTCATATAAAAAGTTATAATCGATAATCGTAGCTATATACGTATTAAAGTCAAAGTCAATTAACTTTCGTATAAATGTGAAGCGCGGAAGTGAATTAATAAAAGTTCTTCAGTTTGCATGAAAATTCCAGAATATATGCAATTTATCATTTCGTACAACTTTATTTAAGATATAAATATTAATTAACTTAGTAAAAATTTTAGTTTTAATTTATAGCTACAATTATCGATTATATTTTAATTTTGTTTGGCGGCAAATTCTGATTGGTTAAAGGAAATAGAATATCAATTAACATATGATAAATGACCCTCTAAGTCATTTAGGTCTCGAAATGACCCAATGACTAGTCATTTGTCATTTGGGTCATTTGGGTCATTTCAGGTCATTTACCATCACTGCATCGAAGTAACTAGAAAATGGTCTGCATGACAATAAAAGGCACGGAAATTCATTATTTATGTATTCGAAATTTCAGTTTTCAAAACTGGGGTACTCATTTATCCAAAGACCAAACATATGGGCCGATTTTTTTGATCTAATTCTGGTCAAATTTGCTGATCATTTGGCCCTTGGCTTATCAGTTTTAAACTGATAAACCAAGGGCCAAATGATCAGCAAATTTGACCAGAATTAGATCAAAAATTTGGCCCATACGAGTTGGCTCGATTTAGGGTTAAACTTGGCCCGATTTAGAGTTAGTGTTGGTAGAAATTAGGTGTCGGAGAAACGATCGTCAAGAAAATCGAAACTCCGTCATTCAGGCGGACACTTGGAATTTTTCGAGAAATATCAATAAATATTTTTGTTCTGGGAGTTTATCTTGCCGTTTCTTTTTTTGATCTAAGATATCTGCCATTAATTTTTCCAATTCCCTATACATACTAGCACCAATCGATAGTTGATCCCATTTTCCGGATGCTAGATTATCATATTATTATGTCATATCGATATAAAATGATTACAGAAAATCTGTCTGTCTGTCCTTCGCGCAGTAATTTTATAAATTACCACATCAAACATAAAATTCATTAAAAAAAGCTTTAGTTATTTATAAAATGATTGAAAAATTACCCTGCGAATGCCTTCTTGAAATATTTAACAAACTTCAAGATAACTCCTTATTTTCGTGCCTTCTTGTAAACCGTCGCTGGTGCAGAATCATCGTACAGATCTTATGGAGAAATATAGATAAATACTTAGGCGATGGAAGGGCTATAAGAACATGCCTTTTGGCATTAAATGCTGAAGAACAAGCATTATTGGTCCCTTTTAATATTGCCCTTCCAAACTGTCCAAAACTATTATTTGAATACACAAGCTATACTACATCAATTAGCGATCATTTGAACCTTGGAATCGTAGATTGGTTCAATTACTACGATGATAGTCCTGTTGAAAACATTTGTAATGGGCTTCATAATGCTCTTAAATGTTCTTTAATTTCAATGTTTTTACGAACAAATAGGAATCTTAAATATTTAGGAGTTTATGGAACAATTTATGATCAAATTATCAAAAATTTTTGTAGGACCAGTACTGTTACGAATTTAGAACTTCGTAATAATCATTTTTGTTCTAATGAAGTAGCAGTATTAAAGGAGGCCATTATAAACAACACCACTTTGACCTCGTTAAGCCTCCATGGTTCTACAGAATGCCAGGAATTATCAGGAGACCTTGCCAATTCCGTGGCTGAAGCTCTTTGTACGAATACTACTCTAACTTCATTAAATCTCTCCCAGAATTACCTTGGCTCAGTGGGAGAGGCATTGGCAAGATCACTTTCTAAAAACGCCACTTTAACTTCATTAAGACTTGGCGCCAATAATATTGACATCACAGGAGTAAAAGCAATAGCAGAGGCGCTTCGTCTAAATAATACCCTCAGGTCATTATATCTTGAGGGAAATGATATTAATGATGAAGGTGGAAAAGCATTAGCAGAAGCTCTTTGTACAAACATTGCTCTAACTACTTTAGATCTTAACAATAATCGTCTTAATGCTGAAGGAGGAGAAGCATTTTCGGATGCACTTTGCAAGAACACCACGCTGATTTCCTTGGTTCTTTCTTATAATACTATTCCGTCATCAGGTGGGAAAGCATTAGCAAAGGCGCTTTATAAAAATACCACCTTAACTTCTTTAAATATTAGAAGAAATAACATTCTTAATAGAGGAGGAAAGGCAATTGCAAAGGCACTGTGTGTAAACACTACCTTAACTTCTTTAGACCTTTCTTATAATGGTCTTGACAATCAAACAGTAATTTTCTTAGCAAACGCACTTTGTATCAACATTAGTTTGACTTCTCTGGATCTTCAACATAATCATATTAGGTCGGATGGAACAAAGGCATTAGCGAACGCTCTTTGTAAGAACACTACTCTAACTTTTTTAAATCTTTCCCATAATGATATTGATCCCGAAGGTGGAAAGGCATTAGGAAATGCTCTTTGCAAGAACATCGCTTTGACTTCACTAAATCTTTCTAATAATAATATTAGATCTGAGGGTGGAAAAGTATTAGCAAAGGCTCTTTATGAGAACACTACTCTGGCTTCTTTAGATATTTCTTATAATAATATTGATTCCGTAGGAGAATTAGTAAAAGCATCTCATAAAAGCAATAATTTAACTTCATTAAATGTTGACGGTAATAGTATTAGTGCTGAGGTGTAAAATTATTTATAGAAGATCTATATATAAATATTCTCCTACATTCTTCGTTTTATTATACTTGAATCGAAGTTTTTTTCATTCATTACACTTGAATCGATCTTTTGTTTTATAGCTGAGTCGACCTTTTTTTCATTATACTTGAGTTGATCTTCTTTCGCCGAGTATTTCATTTTTTTCTTCAGTACAAAAATAGTCATATTAATTAAATTTTGCTGTATAGCTCCTTAAAATTTGCAATTTTATAAAATTTATAATTAAAATTGGCTTTTCAAAGTTTTTTTTTTTTTGTCAATTTTCTTCTTCTTTGCAGCGATCAGCCTAATTATTATTATACAAGTCACTCCAATACATTGAAGTTAGACTCAAAGCCAATATATATAAAATTTCTCGTTATAGTAAAATTACTCGATAGTAAATTTTTAAAAATTTTTATTAATTTCATTATAACGAGAATGACTTGTACAAAATTAATTTGTAGCTTAAATCTAATTTTTAATAAGTTTAATATATTAATATAAATATACTGTAAGATACAGTATCTAATAAAATCTTGTTTTAATTTTTTAAATTATTCAAGTTGTTTATTTTTATTTTATTATTTATTTATCGCTGTTTTCGAAATGGTTGAAAATGACAAACAAAATTTTTTATTAATTTTTTTCCTTTTAATTTAATTTTACCTTTTAACTCCGTTTTTTTTTTTTTTAACTTATTTTTTACATTTTAATATATTTTTTTTTTGCTCAATTATTGATACGCAGAAATGTTTTCATTACATTAGATGTACGTACGTTCCAAGATTAGACCCTTGGGCATACCGATCACGTGTGTAAATAGTATTACTTTAAAAATCGAAAGATTTTCTATCTGTAACGACGGGACCAACAGTGGGGCTGTATTGTAGATAATCCTATGTTCAAATCCGGCTGCGGGTGTGAAATTGCGCACTTAATTTCCCGGGCTTGATGCATCAGAGCAATTTTGTTAAACTATCTTATAAAAAAAATATCTTGGAATTGTTCGGAAATTCTGAAATTATTCGATTTTTTGTTCAGAAAATCGACTCCGTTCGAGTATTTAAAGGAAGTTTATTGGATGAATGCGTTTTTTATACGTTTTTTATACAATAATTTTCAATCAAAAATTTCCTATTTTTTATGTCGCGTACAAATGTCGTTATGAAAACAGTACAAACATGAACCCTGTTCAGAAAATCGACTCCGTTCCGAACATTTTTTTGGACAATGCCTGTACAAACTTTTTTATAGGGCTATCGTTTGATACTTTCACTCTGTGGTATTTGTAGCATTTATAATGATTTAATTTTAAAAAACTTTTAACTAAATAAACTGTCTATGCCCGTTATGTAGAAAAACTTAAACAAGCTAGTCTATGTAATGAAAACGAGCAAATGAAAATGATCTATTTACAGGAGAAAGATCCAATGCCAAATACAGTAAACCGAGTATGCGGCAGATAAGATTTGGACAAGACGAAATTCTTACTTTTTACAATTCATGAAATCAGAAGTTTAAGCCTTCGATGAGTTGTTCGCTGAACTTCGTGGTTTGATAGATTCTGTGTTATTTGTACCCTTAATGTCAAAGACTAATTAGTATAATATATTATAATATGATATAAGACTGCAACATTACAACATTAAATTATATTGTGATCTTGACATTTTTATAATTTGCGGGCTATCATCAAATTTTATATTAAAAAATCGCAAGCGTTGCAACTTTCGGACATGGACATGGACAGTTTATGGACATAGAGGGACTATAGAGTGTCCAATGTCCATGTCCGTATGTCCATCCATGTACAGGTGTCAGAAACAATACTGCCTGTAATGAAGTAAAATTAAAAACGATAATTCATCCACAGAAACTCAGAGTAAACGAAAAAAGATGGAATGATTTTTGAGGTTGGTGTCGAAAACCGTACAGTAAAGCCATATTTGTAGAAAATTAAACATGAACTGATTTAGAAAGTGTAAAATTTAAATGATTAGGATGCTCTCAAGCAGCACACTCGATGTGATTAGCTATTGATTGAAATAGTGCTCAACCATTATGGCATTTATTAATTAGACCATCTTTGAGAACCAATAGTATGATATGGACGATGATATGATTGAAATATGCTCATGTATCTTCCACAATGGATTAATTTATGATTGAGCAAACGTCTTTATCATTACTACCATTTAACAATTATTGTTTTTACAAATAGAATAAAAAATAAAAATAAAATGAAATGAAAACGATGGATCAACGAAAGGATAAAGAATCTACAACACTTCAAATTCAGGTTCTTCTTTTTCAAAATTTACTACGAACCAACAGAACACAAAAAAATGCCTTTTTTATTCGCGGTGAATATTTTTTAGCATAAATAATTACGATAACGATAATTGAACAATTATTATTATTATTATTATTATTATTATTTTTATAAGAGAGGTCTTTGCCTCGTATCCTTTATTATAATTTCCTTAAATGTTACATGTTTTACAACTGTATGATTTAATTCTATTAATTATGGATGGGGGATAAAGCTGGTTTACTTTAGACCTAATCTTAGCTAGATTGGTCCAAGACCCCTAGACTATGTTACTAATGTCGATTGGTTTAGTATTACCTATGATATATTGATGAATCCACCTGAAAATTCCTATTTGCTCGTCATTTATTTGATTGTCTCTCTGGTTAGTAATTATAGTTTGTCCCTGCAAATTGACTTGTTGTTGCGTTATGGTGCGGCTTGGTTTCCATATTTCATGATACACTTCTTTAATTATTTTATGATGGAGTTGTGCCGTTGCTTCTTTTTTTGTAGAGGTAGTGACGTTTCTGGTGTGATGAGTCCTAAAGGCATAGCCTGTTGTATATGAAGGTGTGTGAAATTGTCTATTAAGGTATTAGTATTCGTTAAGTTAATTGAATATTTATTAGAGATTTCTGTTAGCTGGTTCATAATTATGATCCTTAGAGATGTTGCATTGGCTAGACGTGTGATCCAATGTGAGTTATCTTCTTGGTGATAGCTGCAGCGTATGCATGCTGGAGACGTATAAGTGGCTGGGTCCCTCTGATGTAATATTACGATTTGGTACTTTGTTGGTAATTAATTTGATTTTGAAGTTTTTCATGTTGGAGGACGCTGTGTTGGTATATCTTTGGTTAGGTTTGTCTTCCCAGTTAAGTGATAAGAACGATGTTTGCCAGTCTACTCGGTTCTTGATGGTTTTCCACTGTTTAATTCTTTTTTGCTGTAACCATTTGTTTATATTGATAGCTTTAACCAAATCGTTTAATAACGTCTTTAGTGGGATGTGGATTGGGTGTTCATATATCATTGGTAAGAAAAATTTGTGTATAAAAGCTCTCGGATTGAATTCTGTTTGTGTCATTTTAGATTCTTTCAGTTTTTTGATTTCCGTACCCATAACCACTGTAAGTTTGAGATTCTTTTGGCTTGTTAGTTGATATAGTACAATCATGTATGGTATGAAAATGGTTTGGTTAGGTTTTCATTGATTTTGACTGCTCCAGTTATTCAATTTGTCTATTATCGTCATGATGCATTTTGAATTTGTGTATATACTAATTTTATCGTTGTAGTTAGCGATCGTAGCTAAGATAATTAACGCTGAGATTGCGACTTTTTTTGGTCAATGCCAATAACTATTACTTATTTGGATCATCTCGGATTGTATTTTGATTACTGCTAGAGGAGTTACGATATTATTTTTTTTTTCTGTTGAAATTAATATATTGACTCTAGGGGCAGACTGTGATTGTGCTAAGGACCAAATTTTGTCATTAATATTGGAGAATGCTTGGGCTATATCAAAGGATAGTTGGAAGCGATATGGTATATACTGTTTCTTATTTGATGAATATGTTTTTCGTAGTGGGATATTCCTGAATTGATTGATGTCCCCGTGTCATATCTTCTTGTAATCTACTTTGATTTTATATATGGATTCGGTTGCGACTTTGATTGTGTATTGTTTCCCTGTGTTGAGTCTACATCCGTTACATTTTGTGAGGATATTGTTGTGATCTATCAGCCAGTGTTGAATAGTGGGTTGTTTTTTGCTATATGTTTTAAGTTTGCCTATTAGTTTGTTGTTAGTGATAACCTATTTTTGTTTATAGTCAATTGGGATTTGTTGCCATATGTATGGATTAATTGTTGGTAGTATGGTTGCCGGTGAAGTCTGGGATTCGATTGCCTCTTGCATTTGGCCAAACCAACATGGTTTTCGTCCTCTAGGTATTTTATGGATATTATGATGGAATTGTTGCTAAGTAGTGAACTTTGTACAATCGTAGTTTAGAAATTGTTCTATTGCTAGTATTTGGTGTTTGTAAAGGTGGTCTTTAATCTTGTTATAATTGGGTATATTTTGTAGGATAGTATTAATAGATGTCCCTGCGAAGTTCATAGCTTTTGGCCATTCCCGGGAAGGTCCCTGAAAACTTAAATTTGAGTTGATTGCCGATAGGATAATCTGTGGTATAAATGTTGAATGTTGAGAGGAGGTAAATACTGCCTTGTGAGATAGTATTGATGTGTTCGTTTGTGCGCTATCCTGTAATTGTTGTAATCTGATTTGGAATGATGTTTGGGCCATGTTTAGTTGGTCTGATAATGAGATAATATGATTGTGTGTTTGGGTTTGGGCGATATCTTTAAGTCCATAAATGAATGGGTTAATGATTGTTAAATTTGGAACCCCTCTTGCTAAAGATGCATTTTGTTTAACCATGGAGGTATAGCCTGCTATGATTTTTTGACAGGTAGTTTGAGACAGTATTGTGTTTTGAAGTTGATACTTTAACTGAGCAATAAGTACTACATTTATGATGTATATTGCTTGTTTTTCAGTTATATGTGAGTATCTGATCTTATTTAGTTGTTGATTGAATGACCTTACTATTTGCTTTGAGACCACGAAGTTCGTCTTAGTGTGGTCTATAAAGGTGCCAAGAAAATGAAGAGTCTGGTTTTGTTGTAGATTATAGATTTGTTGATCTTGAAATTGAACTGGGTTTGTATTGTTGATATTATTATGTAATAATACTGATTTACTTGGGTTTACTGTTATACTTGCGAATTTATAAAAGGATTGTGCTATGCTTAGTAATTGTTCTAATTGTTTTCTATTGCTTGAGATCCAAGTTGTATCGTCCATGAAGGCTAGTACGGTAGCGTTGAGTGATATTGTTTCCTCTGCTTGAGTATGGGTTGCTGACATTTTATACCCATAACATTCTGATGCTATTCGTGAAATTAACGGGTCGTAGTAAATTCTCCACAGTATCAGGGATATGGTTTCCCCTTGGTCTAGTCCATCATATACTGGGTATTGTGGTGTTTTACCTATGCTAGTTATAACTTGATTGGTGCGGTTTAACAGTATGTTCCTTATGAGGTTAATAAATTGTTTTGGTAA